CTCTCTCTCATTCTCTTTCTCTCTCTCCCCTCTTTCATCTTCTACAATATGATTACCTTATACAAGTAGCCGGTCAAGATACTCTACATGTCACATCCGAGTTACGAACAAAATGGTTCTAAAACGTTTGTAAATACATTCTGCGAATATCTTAGTCCAACTTAATTAGAGCTTCCTTTCATTCTCACTATGAACCATATAATAACCCATATAACTTCTCCCAATAGTCCGCGTACGTTAAATATATACCATATATACAATATACCACACAATCTAGTACCTGCAACATATCGCTAATGCTAGAAAACACCAGCAGATTCATAACATAGATTCATAACATAATAATGTGTACTATAGTATAATAAATAATACCTACGTTAAAAAGAAACATTTTTGGCATGCTCAACTGGCGAGCGGTGCACGACGTTGCCTCGAAAACATGTTGATTCACCGTGGCCTTCAGCGACGTGATTGGCACTAGAAATTTGACGTGCACGAATTTAATATATGGTTTATATGGACTTGGAAAACGAAAAGTGACGAACTAATCAGGGGTGATTGACTAGCATATAGACTATCTGGCAATGTTGCCCCGGCTGACAGGTTAAAGATATATTTTGTAATGCACAATAATTATATATATTATAAATGTTGTATATATATATATATATCATATATATATCATATAATAACACCTACTTATATCTCTGTGCACCTCTTGGTATGTTCAACTGGAGACCGATAACCACTCAATCGTTGCACGACGCTGCCTCGCAAACGTGATAATTCTCCGTGTCCTCCAGTCTGGCGATGGCCACTGAAAATAACTTTGATGTGTATATATATAAATTCATTGTGTTTATTGTGAGCTTAAACAAGGAAAGCGGAGAATGAATCAAAAGAGACTGACTGATATATAGACTTTACCGTTAATTATACCCTATCGCTAAGTATTTAATACTATAACCACGCATCTTTATGCCACTATAACGCATGAAACGGGTAGTTATAATTTAACTCAGTCAGGTATGTGTGTTATCCTGATTAATCCATTTATATTATATGATTAAACGAGTGAACGGCATTAATTAAGTATGAAATTATAACCGCTACGGATGCTTGAGGAAGAATTCCTGTATATTTATTTACTCACGTTAGCTGTAATTATGATGCGCATTCGAAGTTCTCACAGCTTTTATCTTTGACGACAACAACACAGAGAGAACATGGCAGGGACTCTTCGGGCCACTGCCACGTGTATACTGACCGTGATATATCTCGCGAGAAAGAAGCCCGTCACATCGTGACGAAACCCGATGTTAATCAGGTCAACGATATATCCATCTGGGTATTCCACATATGCACACTTTATAATTATTTTTCACACTAGATGTCGCCAGGATTTTAAAATTCAACATAGCATATCCTTATGTCATTGGGTGGTGGCGCCTCTAGCGGATCACTATATCTACCGTGAGACCTACTAGTAGCGGAGAGTATCAAGACGTAGGCGTGCGGCTTTACACACTCTGGCAGTAGAATTTGGGAACCTGCAGAGAATGCGGGCATATCCGCCTAGATTTTAGAGAAAAATAAAATAAAGGTCTAATAAATGCAAATAACCGCATATAAGCCTTCACGCAGTCAGCGACGAAATCTTCACCAAGCAATTTAATCGCGTTCTCTCTAACAACACTGTCACCAAGCAATTCTATCGTGTTCTCTCTAACAACGCTGTCACCAAGGAACGGTACGTACCGTGTTCTCTCTAACAGCACTGTCACCAATCAATGGCATGGTGTTCTCTTCCCTACGTTTTCGTCTGTCACCAAGCAATAGTATAGGCGTTCATTCTAACAACGTTGTTAGCTGTCACCAAGCATTTACCTCTGTATTCCCCTTAACAACGTTGTCGCCTCTCAGAACATCACCAAGTAATTATAACTCTACCGCGTTCTCGCTTACAACTCGCGAACAGCGCACGCCAGCACCGCTGTGACTCTCCCCACCACTACGCTGGTTAGTAGGCTGGCTGGCTGGCGCACCGATGACAGGCAGCCGATGCCTTGGGGCAAGCTTACGCGCTGCTGCCGACGCCCCGTTGCTACGGGTTGTAGCCTGATCTACCCGACACGGTGCTTTCACACGCTGCAGCAACACTCGTCGCCTCGCCCCACCGTCTATCACAGGGAGGGCCCGTCGCTCACCCCACTCAGGCCTATTTCATCCAGCTAGCAGTTACGCCAAGGTTTGTATTAATCCCGGCCGCCACTCTAGGATGTGTGGAAGAGGAACGATGGCATACTGACCCAGACTCCATGGTCGGGAGGGGGTAGGGAAACACTAGAATAAGAGCTCCTCGTCGCGTATTATTGCGTCTAGCTGGCACGGGAATGTCCAGTGCTTTCCACCTCATTACTGATCTACGGGGCATAGCTTCTCCCACCCTCCACCCGCCCTGATTCTAACTGGGCATATCCGCCTAGATTTTAGAGAAAAATAAAATAAAGGTCTAATAAATGCAAATAACCGCATATAAGCCTTCACGCAGTCAGCGACGAAATCCTCGATACCCGCCCGCGACTGTACCATCTGTATAGCGTGAGTGTCAACTGCGTCTCTCCCTCATCATTACTCAGCTAGGTGACGAAATTTTGCCATCTTCCTCTCAGAATTTGCTTGGGTTATGGCTCTAATCTAATCGGTTATGATTAGTTTGAATTTAAAGCGCTTACCTGGCTGAACCCAGTATGCCAGTCAGAGGGCCAGAGGTCCACGAATCCACGGTATCTAAGTCATACCTTGTATACCAGACGTTGCGGGTTGAATATTTTGATAGAGAGCTTATATATACCATACTATATACCTACACCAATATATTATACATATTTTCCAGCGTTCTGGAAATGACGTCGAATCCGGAAACTACTGGTGTGTGGCGAAGGCGCGCACCTTGCTGGTCGGTGAAGTTTCTAGAACCATATCCTATATATGCGCGGTTTCGGTTTATTATTTACGGTTTTGCAATAGATGTTGCAGCTGCCCTTTAATCTATAGCAGACACGCTCGCACGCATGCACACACGCACGCACGCACGCACGCACGCAAACACACACACACACACACACACACACACACACACACAAACACACGCGCGCGCGCGCAAGCGCACACAAGCCCACGTGTTGAACACGGTACGATTGTGATGTTTGAGTGTTTAATTTGTATTCTGGGTGCGTGTGTTTGACCCCCACCGCCGTCTGCTCACCCTAGCAAGTCCTAGTTATTGTAATCGGAGAAATCTATGAACGTATCTCGCAGGGCATCGTGAGAATAATGCGGTGACTGACCGATTTTGACCCTCAGCCTTTTCGCTTGCGCAATGTACTATATATTTGAGTAAATAGAGTTATGACGACTTGAAATTATTCCATTTGCCAGTATTGGTTGATATTTTGTAGATATATTGTATATATTGTATATATATGTTCCTCGTAAACACCTAGTTTAAGATTTAAGTACAAAACCTCGACTCGCTCTATTTCATATGAGATTAACAGCTCACAGTATTAACGCATTTATATCATACATGGCCGGATTAAGGTCCTCATGGGCCATAGATGCTTGTTTTATAAGCCCTCGAATATATTGATGACACGAATAACTGAAGGTCAAAAACTTTCTCTGATACATATGACTGTGAACATAAAATTACCTCGAGTGTGTTTGCGTGCTACGAGCACGGTTAGACACGGTTGGTTTTGGGATAAGGATCTTGCACCTGGGTTAATGTTTAAGCAGTAGGGCGATGATTTAGCATTTCAACGTGAAATTAGTCATTGTGTGGGTATAGGTTCCGCTATAGTTTTCGATTTGATAGGCTTAGAAGATTTTATTGCGTATCTGAAATCAGATTTACGTACTTTTAAGCAATTAGATGTATATTAATTAACTAGGGTTTGTCAATACTAATCGCATGTGAGATCATGGGGGTTCTTTGAGGGTTATGATGCGACGCAAAGAGCACCGGTGTTGTGTTAAAAGAGCGTACGAGATTACTTCTTTCTTGTACGTATTAAATGATTAGACACCATATAGACATGTATACACACGCACGCACACACGCACGCACGCGCACACACATGCACACACATGCACGTGTATATATAGATACTATATTACCATATAATTTATACATAGCAAGATGACGCGTGCATGTGTGCGTGTTCTGGGGGCGAAACCAGGAAATCCGAAAGGGAAGGGTTCGTGGAATTTGCAGCGGAAAACGGTTGGCGGGTATTGCATCATAGATTCTCCATAGAACAGGGCTGCAATCCGATGGGATTTGATAATATATTTTCCATTTTGAGGTACTTCATCCTATTTCAATTACAACAAACGTTTCCCACTCACTGGACAAATCAGACTTTCAGTAATAAAGGTGGAAGGGTCCTGTTCCCCATAACCTCTCTCGGGAACAGGCCTACGGCAATGGATCTCGAAGCTAGTCACATAAACATCAATGTCGCACACGTTTTCTCAATGAGCTTTATTGCAACAATAACTAACAATTTGTACAACACGTAATTTACTCTAATCTGTGGATCGATGATACTCTCATACGGTTCTCGCATGCGGCCAGTACACACGCCAGCTCTAGTGACTACAGTGATAGTACGTGTGTAGAGCTATCTCGCAACGCGAAATATGTTATTCTCAGCTGGAAAATCTTTGATAAAAGCAAGCCACTAGTCATGATGTGTTAGTAGAAGATTACAGGCATGCATGCGGGCACACACAACACAACAAACACACCTCGGTAGCTCAGTATTCTCGTGATTTGCTCTAGTCATGATTGCTATAGTGTAGAACGTCAACTAGCTAACACCACCGATTGATTGATGCCACTCTAGTTAATCGTGAATTTTCGCCCATTAGTCTCTATGAATACGGAAAATTTACGTTGCTTGTTTTGTGCTTGAGTTTCTATCTTGTTCATACTTTTAATATCGACTGGATTCAGTTATTTGATAATTGTAACATCAAGATGATGAATGCGTGCATGTGCAACCACGCACGTCACCAATAACGTCTGTCGTAACTGTAGATTTATGCATTTTCATTTCATCACACACGTTAGCATTAATTTGAGGTAGTAAACGTACTCATACTTTACTTTACCCCCCATACTTTACAGAATTGTAAGGTTTATCGCTTTAAAGGCAGGACAGCTGCAGACTCTGCACTAGGATTCGCAAGCAGAACTTCTTTCATGGCCGTATAGATCTTTTACTACCAATGATTATGATGTAAATTTTTCGATTACATCGCGGTGTGGGTGTGGCGTTATTGCATTCTATGAAGTAGCCATTGTCGACACCGATTTTACAAACACCTCTACAGCATACCAATCGCAGACAAAATCTCTGCGTAGTACCATGAACATATCTAAACTCTAGTATTGCACTACACTATACACAAAACATAACATAACACAGTGTAATATATCTCTGTATAGCACCATGAACATAATATTCTATAGTAGAGAACTTCACCAGACTAGTATAACATACCATAACATGTTTATGCACTCTGTGTGTTATGTTAGTGTAGTTCTCTACTAGAAAATAGATATGTTCATGGTGCTATGCAAAGAGATATTACACTGTGTTGTGTTATGTTATGTTACGTTACGTTACATTATTTTGTTACCAAGAGTCCATAAACAAGTTCATGCATTCTTGGTGCTATGTTACGTGCTCTTGGTAATAACATCACAACATAACATAACATAACACGGCACAGCACAACACCATACAACACAACAACACATAATAAAAGAACATAACACAACATAACCTAGCCTAACATAACATAACATAATATAACATAATATAACACAACACAACATAACACAATATAACATAATATAACAAAACACAACACAACACAACATAACAAAATATAACATAATATAACATAATATAACACAACACAACATAACACAATATAACATAATATAACAAAACACAACACAACATAATATAACATAATATAACATAATATAACACAACACAGCATAACATAATATAACATAAAATCAGGAATGACATGTCATAAGATACTATACTAACACAGTACGCCGTCGTGACACCGTAATACGTCATGGTAGCACCAACAGATAATCCATTGACGAATGAAACGCCCACCGATAGTGATATACGTGCTCGTAATTCAACCACGGAAGGCGCCACCGACAAACAATGGCTTGCTCTCAATAAGCGAAGCACGCGAGCCATGACTACTACAACAATGCCAACAAAACGACGAAATTCAATCGAATTGTCGACACGGCTCGCGCATTTTAACCTTGCGGGCTCCCAAAATTGATTCGCTCTTGATGACTGTAATACACTCGTTAAGTGCTTCGTCGCTCACGAGCACGTTCATTGTGAGCTGGCTGTAATGATTGTACGGTGCACTGCGGGTAACATCGTATATGGACACACGCACTCACCAACATGCTATTGCGTCTGTTTATATCACGGAAACACCCCTTTGAAAAAAAACAGAGTGAAAACACGGATACACCCATCATACAAATACGAAAGTGCACTAGGCAAAAAGCGAACTCGATTAAACTTTATGATGGCGCAGAGTTCACCCAAGGTTGTTGCATGACATTGAGCCAGAGTTGGCAGAACGAGCAAAAGGCCGTTGGCCCCACAGTGACTACCAAGGATAAGCTAATTCAACAGCTTACGTCGGTCCAACGGAGGCCGTACATGATCGCATTATCAGGGAAGTAATGACACTCGAAATCTGAGCACAAATCTGAGAAAACTTTTCGGGGGTTGACGTCAAAGCGTCACAACCAATGGCTTGCTTTTATCGTAATTAATAATCCTAGAGCAGTACTACCCGCAGTGTGAGACAGGACAGAGTGAACAGATATCACCAAGAGTAAGATAACAACCCTTATTATTATCTTACTCTTGATATCACACAGCAACGCGATCAATCATAGCAATAACAATAGCAACGCAATCATCACAGTCTTCTGCGGCGATATAAAAATCACATGCACACTACCGCAGACAGCAGCAGAGTGAATGCCCACAATGGCAATCGCCGAACTTACGCACGCACGCACGCGCACGCACGCACGCATGCATGCGCACTCATATGCATACGCAGACATATAACTACACACACAGTTAAGTGTGTTTGCCTGCCATCATTACAGTTCTCCTGCGCGAAGCAGCACCCGACCTCTGCCACCGCGGGGCACCACCTGCGACAGCCCCCCGCTCACGCGAAGCACTCGCGCTTCAGCTTCTCTAGACGGGCGCCGACAGCTGCCGCGAGAGGCTCGCGGAAGCGCAGCATCGCCTCCTCGGCAACAGTCTTAACGCCGGCCGGCGGCGTGGTCGCGTCGGCGAAGCCCTTCCGGTAATGCAGCAAGATGGCGTCGTTGATGTCGAGAAAAACATCGCGCACGCCCCCTGACGGGTACGCCTGGTGGATGCCGACCTGCGCGATGTGAGGGGGCGCCACCATGAACTTTGTGCGGTACGTCTCCCACGGCACGGGGCGGTAGTCGGCTCGGCGACGCACGGAGCGAGCGAAGAAGAGCCGCGGCGCGCGCGCGGGCCAATCTCGCGCCGCCGCATGCACGTCCGCCGGCGCCCCCGCGCCGTACGCAAAGAAGTTTCGGAAGATGAACGACGCGCCGGTGCGGTTGGCCAGCAGGTGACGCCACGTGGGCGCACGCAGCGGCAGCGCCACCTCGTCGACGTCGAGGAACGCGAGCATGCCGACGCGGCGCATGTTGCGGTAGAGGCAGTCGTTGACCTGCGCGACCTGAGCGTTCGAGTGCACGTCCCAGGGCGCGCCGCTCGCGTTGACGAACGTCTCGTTCGACGCGTAGCCGTCCGTGCGCAGGTGGAACTGCACGATCTCTACGAAGCCGTCGCGCTCGTAGCCGCGCAGCGCGCAGTCGACCGCCGCCGACGCGCTGCCGTTGTAGACGGTGACGCGCGACGCGCCGAGGAGACGCCACGTCTCAAACGCCTCGACTAGCTGCAGCGTCTCATCGAAGCGCGAGTGGAACGCCGGCACGCAGACGCCGAATCGCGCCTCAGCCTCCGTCTCCGCCGCATACGCGTTCACGACGAGCCGGTTCGACGCACGCTGAGCCGTCACGTTGGCCGCGCCAACGATCGAGACCTCGACGGGGACCGCGGCGCCCCCTAGCGGACACACGATGAAGTACACGGCGTAGAGGCGGCGCAGCACCTCTATGAGGGAACGCGCCGCGGCGGCGACGACCGTCTCCGTGCCGTTGGCGAACACCAGGTGGCACCACAGGCGCGGCTTCGGCTGCTTGCGCGTGCGGAACTCGTAGAGGGCGACGACGACGACGCTAGGTGGCGCCGCGCGGTCGTCGTAGAACGCCGAGAACACGGCGCCGCGGCCGTCGTCCACGTGCTGCCAGCGCTGGTGACCGGTGTCCGGCGACGCGATCCGCACTTCCGAGTTGCGGGCCCGCGGACGGAGGCTGACTGGCGCCGCCGCTTCGCCGCCGCCACGACGCGAGGTTAGATTGACGTCACCTGGCAGCTGGACAATATGACGCGACGACAGCTGGACACTGTCCAGTGATTCCGACCTTACACTGTCTGTCTCACGCAGTCGTTTAGATTCGGTCTTGCGGCTGGCGCCACCTACAGGGACATCTAGCCGCTGCCTCGCGCTATCCGCCGCGAAGACGAGCGGACACCCACCGTCGACGCAGGACAGCGGGAACGTTCGCTTGTTGCCGGCACGCCGCATTGCCGGTGTCGCCCCCGGAAACGATATCACGTATAGGAAGCCGATGGACCAGACGACGAGGGCGAGCGACAGCAGTCCGAACACGGCCCGGCACTTCGCCGGCGTCACCATGGCAACGCCGCGCTCGGCTTCGGAGGCTGCGAGGATCGCCCGTCGACCGGCTCGCGTCACGGGTGGTGGCGCCCTCTATTGCTGCCGCACATCGCTGCCGGATCGCCTTAAAGCCCGCGCGACGTGAGGTTTTCCACAATGAATGCAAAGAGAGTCTCTGACAGCGATGAGGCAGTTAGCAGCAGCAAATATCGCGGTGGGTGTGGACGGAGTCGGGGTGGGAAGGGCGCATGGGGACCACGTACAGAGCACTGTCCTGAGAACAATCTACGCTATTGCTAGGATAGGTAGGTCCCTCAGATCTTCCTGCTTTCTGAAAGAGAAAAAAACGAGATTAGCGTGTTACTTCGTCTACATTACATGCACACGCCACACGCACTCTTTCTCTCGCACACGCGCGCATGTGCAGTCATAAAGCCATACACACAAACAACCACATGCACGCACGAATGCACGCGCGCGCGCGCGTACACGCACGCACGCACGCACGCATGCACGCGCGCACACACACTAACACACACACGCACGCACACGCGCGCACATACGCACACGCACGCACGAACGCACGCACGCACGCACACAATGCTTGAAACGAAGCCCACGTGGCGTGAAAGACGAATCAATATCATCGATATTATATATCAATCGTTACCGAAAGGCATCGCGACACAAATCCGCATCGCGGGGGAATAGGACCGGTTCACGCGGAATCCGGGAGCGCTCCTCCGCCCGCCGCCGCACACCTGCGGGCTGACGGCGGCGCCCCCTCGCCCTCTTACTAAAACCCGTCGAACAGGATTCCCTCGACATGCCGCTGGGGCGTTCAGTTGCGCTGCCCCCGCTGCGTCATGGGTTAGCGTATGCACAGCGGACTATAACACATCGTCGGCTTCGATTGCTGCAATCCACTTAATTACGTATTCGGCGCATCGCGTGATGAAGTAAACCTTATCATTTATGCCTCGGCGAATCATTATCACACTCGGTATTTAACTGATTGCGCCGGCGCAGGTCATTGGCCTCTCGCTGCGGTGTATCCACGAAGTCTATAACCAGACGCGCGCGCATTGGTGCCAAAAGAGAAACAGAAAAACGTGGATAGGTGCAGACGGGGGGGGGGTGAACAAGTGAGCTCGAGCAGGGTCTCGGGGAGAAGGGAGCGAGCAAAGAGGTTTGGTAGAAGGGAAGCGAAGAACGAAAAGAGAAAGAGATAGGAAGAGATACTGAGCGACAGAAAAAAGAGCGATGGAGAGAGAGATCGAGATAAAGGTAGACAGATAGAGATAGAGCGAGGGAGGGAACCGAGAGAGAGAGAGAAGAGACGAGAGGAGACGAGAGAGAGAGCAGCAGAGACGACGAGAGAGAAAGAGAGAGAGAGAAGAGACGAGAGCAGAGAGAGAGGAGAGAGAGAGATGAGAGAGAGAGAGAGAGAGCC